GGCAGAGGGAGAACCATAACTTGCTGTATTTAGCTTTAATTTTAAAGTAAATGAATTTTCCAGAACAGTGACAGTATTGACCTTACATATTATCCAAATAGAAATTTTAATGAAACAAGTATAACACTGAGTATAGCCATAATAGATATGCAAATATTGGTCTTTTCTTAAAGGTCTCTCTATCTGGTCACATGGATTTTACTTGCATATGTGGGGGTGAAATCAGAGAACGTTTATTAGAAGGAGAGAAGGAAAGGATGGCTGAACAGCCATGGAGAATCAGACCATCAATTCAAGTTTCATTCGCACTTCATGAGAATTCTCCCCGAGTTCTTCCTTGAACAGTGACCACAGGAGAGCTGTATAACTTGCTCCTGTTTAAATTTCTTCATACTATGTGACAGCATCTACTTTCGCTTTCTGCTGTCACTTAAGAACAAGCTCTGCTCCAAAGGAGGCCAAAAAAACACGCACATGTTATTGCAGTTGGCTTTAACTAAACAAGATGTGGTGTAGGGAACAATTCATATGGATGGTGACTCATCCAAAGGTGTCCCAGCCAGTTAAAAAAGAACCAGCAACAATGGTGTCTCATAAGGATCCCAGCCTCAGAATCTGAAATTGCATTTTATTTTTTTTAAAGCTCAAAGACACTGGAAAGCGAACAGAAGGTGGTAATTTGGCCTAGATTCATGCGTAAGAGTACAAAGGTTATAAAATAGAAGGTTTGAAAAGCAATCAGAATCCCCAGCTGAGAGAGATTTAGAATAACAGCCTAAAATCAGATCCTTCAAAATAAAAGTCAAATAAAAAAAAGACCTTCTGAAAATAGCTAAAAAATACATGATCTGAAATCACTTTGTCTGTATAGTAGCCAAGTTCAAGTTGTCTATCCACATGTGCCTGATGTTTATTAGATCTTACTGCTTAGATGCAGTAAGAAGCGCCTACTGAGATTTTCTGCTCTTCCTAGACATGAAGTTCTCAGTTAAGTGACTTCCACACATTCTTCTGACTGCATGCAGGGCATTTGCATTGCCCAGCACCTCTTAAAACCAGGCCTTGTGAATGAGGTTCCCCAAAAGTTCCCTCTTCCAGCATTCACAAAAACCTGGGTGTACGTTTCCTTGTGGAACAAGGACAGACTGCTCTTGAAAATCTGCCTTTTCACACCCTGAAGTGGGATAGACAGCCTGAACAGCAGCCCATGACGGTACCCAAAATCAGTTTTTCTCTCAAGCCCTTCATTAGGAGTTACAAAACTAATCAGCTTTAACTACAGCACTGATGGATTCTCTCAAAATTCACATCTAAATGCTCCTGCTCCCTCTGTACACTAATTTCTGACCATTTCTTATCTAAGTTCTCAGTCCCTCCTGCTGCTTGCTCTCTGGTGAGCACCCTGCACTTTGGTGACTCTCCTGGCGATGTTGCTTCTTAGTCCTCTTTGTAAGCCCCCAGGACCTGCCTGTTCTCACTTCTTTCTTCCTTCTATGCTCGGTCTCATGGTTCTCTCTTGCTGTTCTGCTGTCACCTCTATGCTGACAACTCACAAATCTGCCTTTCCAACCCTACCCCACTCCCATAAATCTCTTCAGCACATCATCCTGCATAACCCCCCTGCCAGCTCAAGGGCAACTTGGACAAAATTGAGCACCTTATTTCTTACATCCTCCACCCTCCCCCTTCCTGCCTTTCTCCATTATTTTCTTAATTTCTCCTCCCTCCCTCTTCCTCCCCTTCTCCCAGGCCAGCAATGTCAGCACTGCTTTTTATTCTTCTTCTACTTCCTTCTCACATGCAGGCTGACAAGATTTAGTGAATTCATTTCTCCATAATATCTGACCCTTTCGTTCAGTCCCATCAACTTAAACTTTGCTCATGCCCTTTTCATCTTCACAGCTTCATAACTTTATTTTTCCACTACCTCCTCCTCCTTCCCTACGTGCTGTTGATCCAGGATATCAGCACTCCAGTCCCTTTTTGCCCAACAGTCAGAACTTGGTGCTCCTTCCATGTGTTGTTTCATTGATTTTCACTTCAACAGCTTTAACAAGTGGCGTGTCTGCAGCTCTGTCCCAGTCCACAAAGAGATGAGAGTCTTCTCTTATATTTATTTTTGCTCCTTCAGTTTGCCACCTGAAACAGTCCTGGCATCCATGCTTCACTCTATACAGAGCAAATTCTCTGTGCTTTACAGATTTCAAGTAACAAAGTGCCTTTGTCTGTCTGAAATAGAAAAGCTACCATAAGAGAAATTTTGCTTTATTTTTCAAGTGTGTGTTGTGATGGGTAGAGCTATTTACTTTCTTTGTAAGTCCTTTTGTGGAGTACGACTGCCCATGTTGTTTGAAAGGAAACGTAATACTAGCAAGTAGGTTTTACTGCAAAATTGGTCTTCTAGTCTGCAAAATGAAGGTAACAGAGCGCTGAGATTTTTGTAGTGGAAGAGCTGCAAGTGTTCAGCATAAATCCAAATATATCTGAATTTGTGTTTAAACGTGAGTGTTCTGTCAAGGAAGAAAGGGGGAATGAAACAGTACAGAGTCTGAGTCTGAAGACGGGCTCCAGCACCTTCCCTGGGAATGTTAGTACCAACAAAGGACTCACTAAGTATTCTTCCCAAGAGCAGATTGCTAACATGAAATGTGTGCAGATCCCTTCCTCATTTGGAGCAGGCAGACATAAGATTGGGTCTTAAAAATAAAGACATTCCAAAGTTCCTCCAATGTGGTCAATGAAACCTTTCATTTCCTTGGCTATTTTTACAAGATCCTGAAAAGAAAATATTTCAACCCAAAGACAAAAAAATGTTCTGCATTGTACTAATTAACTTCCTGGTTTTAATTTCAGGATGCAGAACATCAGATCTACTTTGGTTTGATCCACACCACATGTATTTCCTCCAGGTTTACTCTTTGATTGCCAAACTGAAAAGTGATCACTCAGTGCCTCAGGTGAAATCTTACGTGTTTTGCTCCCATTCTTTGCTTAGGGTAGTTTCAGCTGAGTCTTTACATCTCAGTGGTATAAAAAGGCATTTCTTTCTCAGTTTTCTCTGGAAACCTTCCAAGTGTCTCCCTTTTTTCAGTCTTTCTCTGAAAAATAAGAAAAGGGCTCTCTGCAGAAAACTATTCTCTAACCTCTTCTTTGAGTCCCTTCCCAGCAAAGTCTGTTCACTGGGTTCTCTGGTCTTTGTATTTCTCAGTAGGAAAAGGCTTGAAGTTCCCCTCAAGTGCCCTATGAATTTCTTCCCTTATTCAAGGCACTGAGATGAGGCCTGTGCCAACTACCCAGTCCTACACCATAGAAAATGTCCTCCTTTACCCTTAACAATCCCCTAGGCTTTTTTCAAAATAAAGCAAAAAGGAAAAAAAAAATTGCATTTGCTCAAAAAAGAAAACCAATCCAAGCCAGAGTTCTGCATATCTCTATAAGCCTGCAGCAATTCAAGACCTATGAGGTTTTCTGATGCGCTTAATGGCTTTCAAAAGACTAAGAAATTTTGTCCATATCTAGGGGAAATTCTGTGAGCTTTCCCATCGATGTCACTGGGGTTGATGGGAGCTCATTTCTGTGGAAGGAAGGGCGTACAAAAATTGTCTCTAAAGGCAATCAGGTTTTGGCCCTTTTCAGTTCCTAAGAAATGCTTCCAAGTGCACTCCAGCCTCTCCAGAAACTGCAGCAAAGGAAGAATCCCTCCCACCCCTCAAAACAGAAATAATTGTTCTGGTCTGAGCAGAAGCAGAACTAACAGCAGGGAAGAAAACAAAGCTGGGTGTTTCCACAGCCGTTGTTAGATGTGTTCCCCGATCCTGCACGGGTCACAAAGCAAAAATGAAGATGTTTTGCACAGACAGGTGCAGGCACTGCTGTGATTAATCAAGCCATAATTAGGGACCTGTCGGCAGGCGCTAAATATATGTTCTAGGGCTTCAACCCCTTAGAAATCTGTGGATAGAAAACTTGCCAAGCAGGAAATTTATAGAAACAGTGAGTCTTTGGATGATGAATGCGTACAAGAAAAGAAACTTCCACCAGGCTCTGATAAAGACAATTTGCTTTGTCGCTTCACATCTAAAAATACTTTTCTCCATTTCTCTGAGTTTTTTCAAAATTGTTAAAATCAACTGACTACAGAGTTTAACAGATAATTCCTACCCTCACAATGGTAAACAGGAACAATTTCAGCGTCTGCAGAGAATGAGTGGGTTTACTGTTTTACACTGAGCCATGTAGCTGCAACAGTCTTGTGGAAGTGACAGAGGGTTCGAAATACTCTGTGAACAAGACAACTCTCATCTTGCACAGCCTTACACATCTATTTGCACCTGGCCAAAGGCAACATGAAATACCTCCATTTAGCAGAGAGCAGAAGGTGGAAGTTCAGTGGCTTTTTATTATCTACGTATGAATTAATGCAAAGTCTAAGCCTGAGATATCGTACTTATTTCTATGCAAATGTAAGATGGGGGCCTCCCTTCCCATAGCACTGTCAGCCAGTGGCTGAAGTGGTCAATGCCACCCTCTAGAGAGTCTCACATGGTCAGTACCCATGGGGGAAGACAGACAGCCACCCCTGTGCACATCCTCCTCCCCCTGTTTCATACAACACTTATCGGTCCATATATTTACTGATTCCTTTACATTATTATGTAAAGATGTTTATTTTGAATTGAACCCAGAAACATCCACATCTCAGTTATAGCAACACACAACTGAACTGTCAATAGCAAGAAGGTACAAGATGACCAAGGCCGTAGCTTAACAAGATGCCCAGCCATCCAGCCTTGCAGCAGGGTTTGCAGCAGGTGCTGCCTTTGCCACTAGAGCATTTTGCTAATTGGAGAGGACTAGTTAGTTTACAGCTAACTCAGGTATGCCTTTATGAGCTGAAGTCACTGTTACATCAGTTTTTGATATTAAAATATTTGCTGTTGTGTGTGCTGACAACGTGACATACAGAAACAACATGAAATACAAAGGCTGTGTGTAATGTGACCAACATCATTATTGTATTATACAGTGCCACAGTACATCTCATGACAATATTAAACAAAAAGAGGTTCCAAGAACTGAAATGCTGCTCTGCACAGAAACCTACAGGCTCACATTCTGGAAATTCAGTAGTCTGAACCTTTGTGCACTGTGATCAATTGCCCTGCCAAATTTACAGAATTTGATTTCAACTGGATATCGGTTAAAATTTTCCAAGGAAGGCAAAGTGTTAGGTATCTGATTGAGCTCGGTGCTATTAAACGTGAGGGGAAGTCATCTAATGCCTGTTTAATTGTAGCTGCCTTTGGTGAGTAATATTGATGATTAATCAATTGACCATAGGGGACAAGCTGAGATGGGGAATAAGGCTGAATCGATGTGCAGGAGAGGATGTGAAGTAAGATGGACTCTGAATCGATGGTGTTGCTACTTGCTCAGTTAGGCTGGCGATTGGGATGTGCCCTCTGCATGAGCTCACAAGCGATGCAAAGAGGTTGCTTCACAACAAAGACATTTCACTGCTTTTTATTTATATTGATTTCCCAGTGAAGTGTGTCTTGGCATTAGGGACTCCCACAGAGCTGAGAAGAAAGATCAGCTTCTTTCCTCTGCAGGTCAACAAATCCCAGGTGATGAGTCTTGTCTTCACAGAAAAAAAGACAGGAGCAGAGGTTTGGCTCTGAGCTGCCTGCTAGAAAGGAAGGAAGGAAAATGTATAACTGAAACTGAAAGCTGTGATCCAGATGGAAGAGAACATCAAAATACCCAAACAAAGGAAAGTCAGATTGTTGAAGTCGTTGTTTAAAAGAGTATTACGTATTAAGAGTGATAAAGTGAAGGTTTGCTGTTTATTTAGGGCATTGTTAGTTAAATTAGGTGCTTTCTGTGGACACCAAAACATCACAGGTGTACAAGTTTTCTTCACATCCCATGCCCAGCTGACAGTAAACCAATGATCAGAGCTGGAAGAAGTGCTGTCCTCTACTGGAAGTAATTCATATGGCTCAGGGGTCCCTGCTTTCAAAATTGAAAGTCCTGTCACTTAGGGACATGATTCTTAGTGCCAGAGCAGGAGGGAAGGGTGCGCTGTCAGGCAGCACTTTGATAGTGAGCTCCTATGTATGTATGCTAAATGATGTGAACCAGCATCTAGCTACAAAGTTGTTTCAAGACCTTCCCAGTGGGGAGACTGGATGAGGTTTAGAGTTTAAACACAAAATAAACAACAAAATGAAAGCTGACCCAGGTATGAATGCTTTTAGACATTACCCAGGTAGCCAGACATTGCCAACCCCTGCAGCACCTGATTGGAACGAGTTTCAGTAATTCTGATAAATCACTCAGATACTGATAGAAATGAAGACACTGTTAATGTTGAACTTTGTCTTGCTGCTTTCCCTTTTTTTCTGTTAAGTCTTGGTTGGTTTAAAGAAAATGCTTGTTAAACTGCAGGTAAATCAGGCTCATGAGTAAACAGCCTTCTCAGAAATGCAACAGAAAGCAGAAAGGGCTCATGAGTTTTCCCAGATCCAAAGGCCAAGTGATACTCAAACACTGGCAATACTGAGAACTCACATGCAGAAGATCTTAAATCTTGAGGTTTGTGTGTTTATGCCTTGTTAGCATTACATGGAATATTTCCCCATATCAGTATATGATAATAGACAATAAACTTTAACCTTTAAGCTGTCCCTGTCTGCCATAACATAGCCACCTATCTTACAAACTAGAACAGATGAATATGTATATTACTCTTTCTTTTCTATTTCCCATCTGCATGAAACATATGCCACGTACAGTGGTTCCAAGAGATCAGTACAGGGTCTACAATCCACATGCTAAAATTTGTAATAAAATATGCATGATAAAATCTTGCAGTGGAAATCACATTTCTAACCAGGAAAAAAGCCCTCACTTTTAATGAGGGTTTAATTAATGTCAGATTGGCTCAGCTGGTAGCACTCTTGCCTCTGGTGTAGAAGGTCATGGTTTTGAGCCCTACATCAGGCTCTGAGCTCATAACCAATGCTGACACTGCAATGTACTTTTGCTACACTGTTAGAGGTTCTGACCTTCAAATGAGGTGTTTAAACTAAGATTCCTCCTGCTACTCTCTGGTGGTTCTTCCAGCTGGAAGCTAAAGGTGTTCTGGCACTTTTCAAGCAGCGCAGGGAATAGCCCTTGCATCCTAACTCACCCTTGCTGAATAAAGTAGGTTATAATACACAAAGCTGCAACTGTCAGCCGTTACTGACAGCTGAGAATACACACTAATGAGGCTGCTCTATTTATTTATGTGCCAACCTGGCTTACAAAGTAGGAAATTGTCACTACTTTGTCACAAAAGAGTGAAGGACCTTTTTTGGGAGCTTGAAAAGGAAGATGGGAACATATTAAAACAATGTAAAAGGGCTTATTTTCAAAATGAGAATGCCCCGTTCATATTCAAGGAAAAATGGCACCACTTAAGATAAGCTAATATTGTAAGTAAGGAGATACTGGAGGGGACAGGAGAAATGTGAGACAAAGGCCATTTCCAGTCTTCTTGCAAATAGAAAGTATTAAAATGAAGCCTGTCAGCAGCAATAGGGTTAAAATTTCAGAGCAATTGTACATGAATTAGCAGTCAAATTGGTATCAATCTATGTGATCCTGTTAATCAGCTGAGTCATCACAAAAGACATCGTATGAACTCATCTGGAAATTAAGATCTTTATGATCTGTCCATTCAGGCTATCAGAAATGATTTAGAACTAAATATCAGAACCAATCCATTTCCAGCCTTGCCAACACTCCTAGCCCCTGCCCTCCTCCCCTCTCCCACTACACACTTTATTTTAAAACCAGAAAAGTTTTTTGTTTCATCTCCTTGATAACACTCTTACCTAAAGGAGATTTAATTTGGCACTCAACAGTGACTTCCTAACTTGAACCTTACATTTTGTGACCCCAAGGTACCCTGGTATTCCCTACATAGTAGTTATAATGATGTTTTCTGGGACATGCAATCCTGGCAGGCTGTCTTTCAGCAACAGCAAACTTCTGCTATTTACTCTATCTTAGCTTAGGAGGTTTATAAAATAAGCCAGCATACTGCATTCCTTCCTTACAACTTGTTGAGAATAACTGAATGTAGCGCAGCAAGCCAAAGCCTTGATTATCTAGGATCTGGATTATGGCTAGGTAAATAGAATACAATCAATTCACATATAGAAATGAAAGTGGATTTATTTGTAAGACATCCTATCTCCTCCCTTTAATTCACTCTGCTGGGCCAACTGCCACTGGAGCATAGAAAAATTGAAACGATGCCATCTACCTGTATGAAATTACATCTAAGTTATTTACAGAGGCTCACCTCATGAAGATGAACTTTTTTTATTCTCCAGTAAATCATTTCTCGTCTGCAGGTAACAATTATAATGTTAGAAAGGCCTGAAAAGTAGTTTATGGTTCTGGAAATCAGAACAACTCAGAAAGAAAACATATGTTTTTAAAGAAGGTGAGCTACAGACACGTGGAGCCAATATGTCTGAGTTCCCAGCCAGTCTCCCCTGGGTATTCAGTCACAAAGCTTTTGTATGACTGTGGTATTTGAGACCCTGCAAAGTGATAGTATTCTAACTGTAGTGTGGCTGATAACATCTGCATAATTCTAGGTGTTTTCTTGGAACAGGAAAAACAGCTTTCATGATTCCTTCCAACTATGTTCTTCTATGAATGTTTTCTGTGACTTTATTTGCAGTGCAATGTTGCATCAGCTTCTAAAACTGCACAGAGTTCAAGCACAGAGCTGTAAAGCACAAACAGGGAACTTAAATTTCCCATTATGGGGGGAAAAAAAATAAAATTAATCCTTGGCTCTTTAAACTGAACTGCTTGAGTGCAAATGCTATCATTGCTGTCAGGGAGAAAACTAAGAAGCAGGCTGCTAAAGCCACAAACCTCCCCTCTGAGCAAAGCCATGCCACGAGCAGCAGAGTGCAGCATTTGGCCCTGAAGATGGAGCTGCTGACAAGGTGAGGAAGCCTGGGCACTTAATGGGATTTATCTCACCTAATATTTTCAGTCTAACTTCAGCAAGGTGTCAATTCTAAATTAAGTTCTCAGTGTAGTCAGTGAGGAAAGGATCGGCCAACCCCTAAAACACTACACAGTCTTAAAACGAATGGAATGAGTCACTCTACATAGCTGTCTATTTCTTTCCACTGTCTTTAGAAGGAATTCAGAAAGGGGAATGAAGACAATGACAAGTTGGAGAACAGCACGCCTCTGCTCCTATATAAAAGATATCCTATTGAAGATGAAACAGGAAACTATCAGTAGAAAATGCTGCCTTTCTACTCTTTGCTACATAATGAATTCAACATAAAAATGTAAATGACGTACGTGAAACACATAGAATTCTCAGATATGGACACTTGTCCCTTTCAGCAGTTGCTCTCAGACTAAGTCTGATGGGATCACTAGGGGTTCACAGGTCTACTTTCATCTTCACAATGAAGTAGTTTTTAAGTAATGTCACATCCTACTAAACTCCAGCCAGGGTTTCCCAAGGCTTTTTAGACATTGTAGCTATAGCAACAGGAACCCAAACAACTCTGTTCCCTACATGACACAACTTTGTTGGGTGTTTCTTACAGCTGGAATTCAACTGTGATCAAATGTACGGGTGGCAGCTCTACTGAGGAGGTATAACACACACACAGCAGGACCTAATCAAGCTGCAAAGTAACCTGAAGAGATTAGAGCAGTAGGAGCTGTAGGCAACAGAGGAGAATCCAGGAGCAATGCCAGTCCCACACCACTGAGAGAATAAATCAATTACAGTGTCACAAAATAAAGATTGAAAATAGAGGTTTCTTCCTCCATTAACACAAGTGACTTTCATCCCTTTTATTGTGTTCTTTTATTGCAGTGTGCTCTGTTTTTTTTTTTAATACTGGTTGACACTGCAGTTGTTTCAAGGCACAAAGTACTTTTTGGTGAAGATGTATGAACTATTCAAGAATCTCTGCTTTGGTGGCTTTCTGAGGGCAACTGTCCTCACCATGCTGCTGTGGCTCTCTGGCCCTGCTTCCAACAACAAGCAAGGCAGAGCGTTGTGTTCATCTCTTGGGACAAGATATTTGTACAAGTAGTGGCTGGGCAGACTGAAGGGCAGGCAGACTGCTGGCTGACTGCTTCTGTGTCTCATAAGCCTAACAGTGAATTATTTTTTTATTTCTTATCACTTCTGTCAGTGCATTTTAAATCATAGTCACAAGGTTGAGACATGATTGCCACAACTGCCTCTAACATCTATATGCCATAACAAGAATGTATGCAAAACGTTTAGACTGAACAAAACTACAAACAAAATCAAGTTACTTAATCATCCATTGGTATCCACTTAAAAAGCCCACAGTACCTTTTGCTTAGAATTCATCTTTAGTGGAAGCCCATTTCATGGCTGAGCAGTTCTTCCCAGGCTAGAAGCGTGGCCAAAGGCTGGAGACTCCTCTCTGGAAAGTGCTGTCAGTCCTACATTGAGTGTGGGGCTAACAAATGAAGGATGCTGTTTTTGAGAGGAAAAGGCTTTTTTCTGAGGCTTCCACCTAAATCTCTTTTTGTTTAGAATTGAATGCTCACACATTTGCACATCCAAGCCAAACCAGAAGTCTGAAAAAGAGTGATTTCATTGTTTGCCCA